TGGCTCACCCGTACACCAGCATCATCTCATACATCTGGTCTGTGTGGAAGCTGGCCCTGCAGCTAGTATGAATGCCGATGGCACAGTCCACTTAGTTCTGGATCTGGCTAGCTATGCGGGTTGCTTATTCTCACTATTTTACAAGTATCTATAACCGTAGCTTCAGTTCTGTTAGCCTTATCCATGATTACGAGCTCTTGCTGCTCTCCCAGAGAACCAGAGTTTGGTTCCCAACACATACACAGGGCAGCTCTCAACTGCCTGCCACCCCAGCTCCAGGGAGACCGACACCCTCTTCTGCCCTCCTCAGACACCTGCGTTCATGTGGCATACATTCGCACAAAGACATACACACATAAATAATTTTTTTATTTATTTTTAATTTGACTTTCTGAAATGCAAGGGCTCAGAACTTTGCTTGTTGGTGCTTTTTTTGGTCTTGCCAACAAGAAGCCATGCCAGATAAACTACTACCTGCAAATGATCCCCTCTCCCCCTCTCTGAGCTGCCAGAAAGCAGGGCCCTCCACCGCCTTGTCTACTGTTGCCCAGGACTAGGATTATCCTTAGCAGGTATTAAGCACTCGGTAAGTACTTGTCAGGTGGAGTGGCCGTCTGTGTGGTTGGGATACTAGCATTTGTGTATGGTTGGGTATGCAGAGCCTCATTCAGCTCTGACAGGGCATCGAATGAGGCCGGAGGAGAAGCTCAGGGGCAGAATGTGTGCTCGACATGTGTGAGGCCCCGAGTTCACTGTCCGTCATCAAGAAAAACAAAAATAAACAAAAAAAAAAAAACCACACAGGGAAAAGAAAATCTACAAATGTTAGAAGGCAGCAGCCCATTTTTACCAGGAACTAATAGGACGTGACTATCATAAGAAAAATAATTTGGGTAAAAAGTGTTACACACATATACAGATACACACACACGATGATTACAGCAATATACTCACCCAAAACCCAAGTCAGTGTGTCCAAGGCCAGCCTTCACTACATGAGACCCTGACAATCAACTTGAAAAATGACATGTATCTAAAGTCTTCTGAAGAATTTCTTAAAACTAAGCTAAGATTCCTGTACATGAAATAACTCTGGCATAGATCTGTACATGTAAAACAACACTTCCAGGCCTAACATCAAAACTAAAGGTCAGCAGCGACTGCCTGGCAGAGGAAGGCAGCCTTTGTGTCAGCACCAACCAGGAAGTCTCTTGTTTGGTGATACTTGGTAATCTGGCCACACCAAATTCAACTGACTCTGGTGGTCCATCATCCATATCTGCAATGCCATTCATTTCCTTCACAGTTTACAGAAAATCAACATAAATTTTGCCCTTGCAAACATCCATTTAAAACACTGGGTTGAAAGATCTGTATGCAAAGTCAAGTCTGGGTATTAAACTCCTGCTCCACTGGAAAACCAACAACCTCTAGGCAGAGGATCTGCAGGGAGCTGCCTGGATTCGGAAGGCATCTGGAGGATATATGGATGCTAATATTCTTTATATGTATGTGAGCCAAAAGTCAAAGGAGGTGCATATAAAACTCTATTACCTTCTGGATAGACAGATCCTGAAAAATGTTTCTCATTTTTAGATAGTTGCCAAGTTGCCACTACTGTTCAAGCCCCAATCTTCTCAGGGCTGACCTCAATATACAACTAGCTTTGAGAAAAAGACGGTTTACAAACCAAAAGAGAAAAGTATTATTTCCTGAAAGTCACCCTCTGTTCTGTGTATTTATAGTCATCTGGCTCATCGAGACGTAGAAATTTCTGGAATCAATTTTGCAGTGCTACACAAACAACCATCATAAAACTTCAGCAAACTTTTAGAGACAAATAACAATTACAAAATTTGGCTAGCTTATGTTGGGGACTTGGTAGGGAGGCCGCTTTGTTTTGAGACATGCTCTCAGTAAGTAGCCTGAGTGGGGGAGGTGCGAATGGGAGAAGGTGATCTCAAAGCTGATAGGGGGTGGGTGGGGAACAACAGAGACAGTGAAGGAGACAGAGAGGTAGAGGAAAATACAAACACAGAAAAGGCTGAGCAAGATACAGTCCCAAGAACACATACCCCATGAACGAATTCCTCCGACAGGCCCCGCCTTCTGCCTCTCATAACTACCAATGCCCTCACCGAGAGGAGTCCCTCGGTTGGTTAGGGCCCTCACTGACCCAGCCAGTGCTGTAAGGCATTTTAATTCTTCCTTCTTCTCTTGAGAGTCTCTCAATCCTACCAAGCTGACACCCAAGATTACCCATCATAGGGCTAGCGATGTGGCTCAGTGCTTAAGAGCACTTGCAGAGGACCTGAGTTCAGGTCCCAGCACCCCTGTCAGGCAGATCCCAGCTTCCTTTAATTCCAGCTCCAGCAGGTCTGATGTCCTCTCCTGGTCTCTGCAGCCAACCCCATATGTGTGGTGTACACGCGCACACACACAAATATTTTTTAGAATATTACAGCCAGGCTGTGGTAGTGCACATCTTAAATCCCAGCACTTGGGAGGCAGAAGCAGGCAGATCTCTGAGTTTGAGGCTAGCCTGGTCTACAAAACAAATTCCAGTACAACTAGAGGTACAAAGAGAAACTATCTCAAATAAATAAATAAATAGATAAAATTAATGTATACCATTTCTTTATTCTTTTTTGTGGTTCTCTTTATTTGCCCCAATTTCAATATTCAGCCTATAACACTTTTATGGTCAGAGAAGGGAAGGTCAACAACTATTAAATGTTCCTTTAAGTGTGAATTGTGGGCCATGTGGAAACAGTGACTTGTTTAAATAGTAGACACAAGGTTGAAAAGACGTCTAAAGTCCATAAAATACTTCTACAAGCAGGAATACCCGAGTGTGATCCCAGAGCAAGCACACACAAGCCAGCTGTGAGGACATGTGCTTGTAGCCCTAAGGTTACAGAGGCAGAGCCAGGCTCACTGGCCAGACACCCTAAACTCGCCAGAGTCTCAGGCCACTGAGACACTGTCTCAAAACAAGGTGGATGACACCTGAGGAATGACACCTAAGGCTGAGCTCTGACCTACACACACACACGTATACCTAGGTGCACATGACCACAAACATTAACTAGCATACAATACCCCATCCATATCACAAGCATCCCCTTAACAAGGGAGTAAGGCTCCAGGATGTCAGGCCACCAAGCCATGCAGTTTTCCAAGCTAATGTTTGCTTTTGGGTTTGGAGGCTTTGGCTTTTTTTTGTTGTTGTTCTGTAGGGACAGGGTCTCACTGTGTTTCCCCGGCTGTCCTTAAATTCACAGAGAGGTCGATACCTTGGATCTAAAAGTCAGTGCGTAAGGACTGCCGAGCAAGGATGTGGTCTCAGCTTCACTCCCCGAGTACCACAGTGAAAACAAGAAAAAGAGTACAGGGCCAGCTATTTCCAAGAAGACATTCAAACTTTGTTTTACAGATTTGTTTTATTATTTATTTACATGTATGTAAATAAAGTATGACTCTGTGTGTGTGTGTGTGTGTGTGTGTGTGTGCGCACATGCGCACATGCATACAATATAGGTGCCCATATTATCTCCATATAGTTATCTCCTATAACTAGAGTTTCAGTGGTTGTGAACCTCCTGACACAGATGCCGGGAACCGAACTCACATCCTCTATAAGAACAAGTACAGGCTTTTAACCACTGAACCACCTACCCAGCCCAACACACCCAGTTGTTCTTATGCATTTCTCACATGCTGACACAGTTACCTGTGAGCTCACACTGATAGTTACTTATAAGCTTACACACACACTCACTTACATATGAGCTCACACTCAGTTACTTGTGAACTCACACTAAGTTACTTCTGAGCTCACATGCTTGATTTTAGAAATTTCTGGAAATTAACTTGATACTTAAACCTCGATTATCTGCGGACATCCCTGGCAGGCATGCTGCATGCTACGACCCAGCACACTGTGCTACGAACCCTGTGGAGATGTTCCTCTCTTAAAGGACATAAAGCCAAAGAGAAACCCGGTAAGGCATATCAGCATGAGAAATGTTCCTTGCTCCTCAAAACTCTGAACATTTTCTAAGCCAGAAAGTAACCCAAGAAAGCCAGTAAGAGGGCTTCATGTGTAAAATCACCTGACACGACAGGTAACAACACAGTGACCTCGGTCCCAGAAGCCAATGATAATGCTGAATGGCAACTATAACCCCAGCACTCCTACAACACGAGAGGTGGAGACAGGAGAATCGCCAGAAACTTGGGAGTGAGCTAGCCTGGACTACCCAATAGCAGAAGCAGTAAGAGAAATCCTTCCTCAACAAAATGGAAGGAGAAAACCTATCCCAAATGCTATCCTCACACATGGTATGTGCACATACATATGTACTCCACTCTGCCCCATCTCACTCAATAATAAAAAATACATTTTAAAAATCAGAATTTATGGCTAGGTAGTAATGGAGCAAGCCTTTGCCAGCATTCAGGAGGCAGAAGCAGGCAAATCTGAGTTCAAGGCCATCCTGGTCTACAGAGCAAGTTACAGGACAGTCAGGGCTACACAGAGAAACCCTGTCTCAAAACAAAAGAAACCCCGAAGATATGGCACAGGAGAGGGCTCATCAGTTAACAGCACCTGCTGCTCTTGCACAAAACACAGAAGTATGGCTTCCAGCACCCACATGGGGAAGTTCACAGCTGCCTGTTACCTCCAGCTCCATGCCCTCCTCTGGCCTCTGAAGAGGGGTCTCAAGTGATCTGGAGCAGTAGTTGCAGAGGACCAGGGTTAAGTTTCTACTCCCCACATAGCCAAAGTCTCCTGACCCCCTGCAGTACTAGGCATGTACACAGTACACATGCAGGCAAAACACTCACACACAGAAATCTTTTTTAAAAAATTAAAGAAAAGATTAAAAAAATAATAGATGATATAATCTTTCTGTATTTAAAGAAAAATGAAGTAATAAACAAGGTTCTGTTCATTTCTTATTTACTTATTTTTGGGATAACGTCACAATTCTTACCTTTGCAGATAAGGCTTTCAAACTGTCTAGGAACCGCTGCCAGAAATCCTTGAAGAGCGGGCGGTCGATCTTCTTCAGGCTGTCTTTGGTGCTAGCGTCCACGCTCACGTAGAGCTGAGTAACCGGTGTGAGGTTCCTGGGAATGGGAAAAGAGAGAAAACGTAAAAATGATGATGCCTACATCAGGAACTCCACCATAGGAACAGTATAGTTGAGAAGGGCTGACACAACATTCCACTTTGCCCACCTTTCCAAAGCAACTACTCTGTTCTCCTTTGGGCAGAGCTGGGACTGGAAGCCAAGGCCACGTGCAGTGAGGAACAGCACTCTGCCACTGAGCTACAGCCCAGTCCACGATGATTTTATAATGTAACACAACAAGAAGTCTCCGGTTATTCTTAAATGCCTGGACATGGCGTCTAATAAACTGAAAGCAGATGGGATTTGCTCCAAAAAAACCATTTCTAAACAGGTCTACTTCCCCTATACCCTAATAACTTTAATTTCTCACTACCTCTGGTGAGTGATAGGCTAGAAGGGAGGTTAAAGCACTTAAGAACCCTTATTAAAATCAGGGTTGGAGGGGCTGGAGAGTTGGCTCAGAGGTTAAGAGCACAGACTGCTCTTCAAGAGGTCATGAGTTCAATTCCCAGCAACCACATGGTGGCTCACAACCATCTATAATGAAATCTGGTGCCCTCTTCTGGCCTGCAGGTGTACAAACAGGCAGAACACTGTATACATAATAAATAAATAAATCTTTAAAAAAAAAAAAAAAAAAATCAGGGTTGGAGCCGGGCAATAGTGGCGCACGCCTTTAATCCCAGCACTTGGGAGGCAGAGGCAGGCAGATTTCTGAGTTCGAGGCCAGCCTGGTCTACAGAGTGAGTTCCAGGACAGCCAGGGCTACACAGAGAAACCCTGTCTCGAAAAAAAAAAAAAAAAAAATCAGGGTTGGGAAAAATTAAAAACTACAGTGTAGTGTCTGGACCAATGGGACACCTACATCTTCTGGTCACTGGAAAAAACTTCAAAGAACAGGAAACAGGACACAGCCCACATATGGTATGCAAAGAGCATAAAGCCACACCCATGCAGCAGAAGGAGGAACGGATTCATGTCTGCTTTCCCTGGGTAAAGGATGTTGGCTGAGGAGGTAGAGTGTGTGTGTGTGTGTGTGTGTGTGTGTGTGTGTGTGTGTGTGTGTG